TTTTTTTATTCTTACGCACTTACTTTGTCAAATGTAGGCAAACCTTCCCGAAGTTGAATTTCAAGGGACCATATCCAAGCTCAGAAAGCCGGAGAAATCTAATTCCGTCGTCGCTTGTTGACGTTCTCCATGAAACACGAAATTAGGTATTTTCACGTCGTAGTCGTGCAAAAACGGCAAAGAAATGTACAAAAATGTGTGATGCACTTGCGAAGTTGTTGTTTTGCTTATTAAACCTTTTTTTTTGACGTTCTCGTTGCACGTCCGCGTCGTTGGATCTTAAAGTCGAAAACGGAAAGCGGGAATTGTTTCCGTGTATCCGTGTTGTCTGAACTATTAAGCTTAGATTAACTGTCATGTCCACAAATTTGGAAAATAGAGCTAGAGAAAGACAGAATAAGAGAAAGTAGGCAGCAGGCCAGCAAAGCTCAACGAGAAAAAGGGCGACAGATATCTAGAGAGAGAGATAAACAACAAAGGAGACATTTTTTTGTTGGAAGAACAACATGACAATTTTGTGGTGGCGGTGAGAAAATAAGAAATGCTAACGGCCACCAATGCACTGGGTGAAATTGAGCGGCAAAATTCATTAGCACACTAAATTACGTACGAAAGACTAAATTTACATTTACGGCAGGTTTTAAATTTTTCTATGGAAATGAAACTGATTGTGATGAGGTTCAACGATCACTCGTCCTCGCCGCCTCAGTTTCTAAATAAAGATTCAACGTAACATATAATTTATTTATACGTACCTACTCATGAGATTTTACAAAAATAACAAAAACAAAAAAAAGCTATGGATAAGCTAACACTAAGTTGTTGTCCGTTTTTAACTATAAGTGGAAAAGGCTCATGACCAGTGTTTATTCAGCTTTTCTTTTTTTTGTTGACCAAGTTAATTTAAGAGACAACCTTTTGAGTATTACCATTATATGCCTTCGACTGCATTATCATAGCTTAATATTCCCTGCTAGCAGAGGTCTCTCACGACGAGCCAAAAATCAATTTTGCCTCGTCGTCGGAGACCTCTACTAGCAGGGAAAGCTTAAGATATAAAGAGGTGTTTACGGGTAAAAATGTCATCCCTCATTTTTCAGTGAAGACGTTCAGCTGGTCCTTTTGCATTATTAGCCTTTTCGATTGAGGTTTGCGTGTTCAAAGCTACACATATGACACGTTTGATTATTCAAAGAAAGTGAAACAGCCAACTTGGTGTCGAAAACTGACAGCAAAACTTGGAAACGTTTTGGAAAGATAGATATCAGGTGCTTTTTTAAAAATTTTTTTAATCTTTTCCTTACGTTCGCCGTATAACGTGATACCTGCTCCACAAATTTTGTATTGTATAAGGAAAACAACGAAATTCTACAGAAGTGAGCCTAAATTCTCCGGGCCCACTCTTTCCCAGGGGGTACTCCTGGAAATTCTTGGTGGGCGGGAGGGTGCCGCTCCAGTTCTCTAAATCCTGACCTTATTTCAGAAGAAATTTTATCATCTTCATTTAGATTAGAGCGCAAACTAAAAGATTTCTTAAAATTCATCTCGAATTCGCATATTACCTTTTCTTTCTCATTCATTTGGAATTGAAATGACAATTGCGTTCATACACTCCCGTAGGTCCCTCGAAAATCATACCCGATTCCAGACCAAAATGGGGAAATTCTATACCGTTTTCAGACCGAAACGGCGCAAAAACCATACCCTTTGGGGCGACACATGCCTAAATGGCTTATATTAGAGAGTAACCCCTGGGCCTCTTTCCAAAGATCCGCCCCTGGGATTTTTTTCAGGATCGAGCGTTAGGAGATACAATTCAAAATATCATGATATTGTTATGTTTATATCAACGCCAGTTCTTTGTCTTCAGCGCCATTTATCTGTTGTTGCACCTTCGCTCAAGACATACTCACGATGCGGATTTTAATTTTTCTTTCTATTTTTCAATTAGCTTCTTTCCCAAGCGGTAAGTAATAGATAGAAGGATTTACATCTGGACTTTCCAGTATGCCATGACTTTTATCATGATTTATTCTTATTCACAGCGTATATCCTAAGTGGCCATGGGCTGAGCGGTTTTTTTTTCCTTCACATGCAGATTTCACCAGAAAAGAGTAACTTTATTCGTTAGAATTTTGGTATTTTATATATAATTCTCCGGTCAAAAATACTTATCAACAACTGTAACATTTATTTACTAAAGAGCGAAATAACGTAATACATAGAACTAAGTAAACTCATCTACCAAGGAGTGGTCGGCCACGCAATCGTGCTAAAACTTGAGACAAATTATAATTGATTAATTATTTGCAAGGAAACAGGTCTTTGGTGGCGGACCAACACGAACGGTCGTAAAATAACTGCGGAAAAAGAACTGGTAATGTCTTTGCTTTGCAAGGGCTAGAATGACCGCGAATAATGGCTTCCCCGCCTCCAAAAAACAGTGTCATCAATTACTACTTTAGGTGCTACATGGGTTGTCAATTTAATAGAGTATTTTTTTCGTTGGGTGTGTGAAAGTTAGTCTGGAGTAGTTTCGCCCACATTAGGTGTTTTCCTGTTTTGATGTTTTGATTCTAGTCGCTCTTGAGTTTGCGCTTGGCTGGCGAATTTTTCTTTTCCTATTTTTGAACGAACTCATCTCGCCCTTGTCAGATGTGTCATCTATACAGGTGGTTGTGCTTGAGAGCGATTAAGGTGACCTTGGGTTGTTAGTCCCTTTCAAGTGCCTGTTTGGGTTTGTCAACCAACGTTTTAAGCGTTTCATTGGTTTTACGACTTATTTTCAACAATATAAAACCAAAACATTACCCGGCTCCGCCGACAATAAGTTGCCCTTTCTTTGTTTAAGCTCCCATGTTCTGCCCTGTAGCTTCGGCTTGCTCGTTATGTTACTAGTTAGTTGAGATGAAGAAATAGATGAAGTAGAAGCTGTAAAACTGAGACCGTCGAGGATAAAAACAAAAAGAGAGAAAGAAAAATGGCTCTCGGTACTACTAAGCCAGCGAGCTGCACGACTTTTCACCACTAGCTCCAATACTTACTAGACTTGATAATAATAAAAATTAAAAAATCTGTTTGCACTTATCAACCCTTAACGATTCTCCTGATCAGTTATGCACGGTTTCATCTTTTTGTTGTTGTTGTTGTTCAAAACTTGTGGCGTTTTTGATTTTTTCGTTAACTTTGGAGAGGAATGTGGCATTTATTTAGAAAAATGTTGAATAAACGAACCGGTTAATCATCGTGCTCTGTTAACACAGAAAAAACCGGAGAGTAAATGGCGAAACACACGTTTCCGTAGCATCTATTTTCAGAGGAAGCTGTAAGGAACAAAATAACTATAAAACCATACAAGCAGCAAGGAACGTTGGCGGGTGATTGCCACCCATTTCTGATTATTTGTCTATTTACTAACTTGCTTGTGAAGAACTCGACCTATTAAATCATCAATTTTTCTAGATCTTTGAGATCTTGTTTTGAATTTCATTATGCATGGCCTCTTATCAAAAACACGGAGTTAGTCAAGCCAAATGGGCACGTTTTCTACTTTTTTCTCATTGGCATAAGATTCAAACGAGCGAATGCACAGGTTATCTTTTTAACTTTTTCTTGCAACACAGAATGTGCTAAATACAATAATTTTGTTAGCACTTAAACATTGGGGTGAATCGCGACGTATACAGCTTTCTTTTTTCTGCCCTTCCTTTTCACCAACATGTATAGAGTTTTTGACTGATGCATGAGACTTAAAGTTAAGGGGCAAGAAAATCTGGTTTGCAAATATTAAATAACCATAGTTAGACTGGGGCAGTTACGATCGTGTCGAATCAAGAAAGAATGGTCGTATTGCTCTGTCGGTCTGTTTTTGGGGGGGTCAGATCTTCTTTTATTGACGAATGCGAGAATTTCTAACTTCGTTTCCCAAAACAGCTTCATAGAAAAGTGCAATATTCACACAACAGGTACCGAACCAGTATTCAAATGACCAATGCCATTGTTTTCTGTTGTTTTTATGCGCTTTTTATTCAACCCAGCTATACAAACGGAATCTGTCAAGAGGTACTCTTTCTTCGTTAAGATAAACATTTAATAAACTCGAGAAACAATTCTTCAATACATAGTTGTTAAAACAAGTTTATTGATTTTTTTTAAATAGTGACGGCAATAACTTGCTACGAATGTCTTCCGGAACCACCCGATAACTGGTGCCAATTCACTTCAAATGTCACCGACTGTGACGAGAAACCGAAAATCGATGGGGCTGAATATGACGTATGTGCCAAAACGTCGTTCGAAATCGTCTACGAGGGAGACAACCATTTGATGAATGTAATGAATTGCGCAATAAAGGTATGTAAAAACTTTAAGAGATACGAGGGGGCGTTGGAGTCTATAAAAAACCGAAAAACCACTCAAAAAACACTCAAAAAAGAAAAACAACGGCAAAAGATTTCGATCAAAATTAAACCAAAAACTGATTACAAAACCCTCAAAACGAAAGATTTTAGCACGCCTCAATAATACGAGCCTCAAATTTCAAAACCTTAATCGATTTTAAAATTTGGTGAAATTTTGAACGCGCGGACTAAACAATATCACATCATCTTCATTCTAAATATTATTATCATTACTAACAGTATCAGCACTCTGTGATGTCACTTTCAGTACGTAAAAAACAGAAAATCACATCGGACACCAAATTCGAAAAATTGCTTGTGTTATTTGCCAAAAACCGAAAACCAGATGCTAAAACTGCAAACCGTAACCCACAGCAAAACCGAAAAATTGACCTAAAAATGGCCAAAAATTAACGTCCCAACGCCCTCCTGAGATAGACTTCCAGTACACCCTTATTTTCTCCAGAGCAGAGCGCGTGAAAGCGTCAACCCGCGAGCAAGGTGACACGCCGTTGTATACGGTAAAAAATTGGGGTCTTCATGGCTCTTTTAACAAGTTTTAATTTTTATTGGGCACGTGACCAAATCTTGAAGTACTACTTAAACGCTTAACTCAAATTTTTCTTCGTTATACAGTCCAAGTGCGCCACTGTAAAGGAGAGAATTTGCAATAAGGATGTTTGGTACGAGTACTTTGGAATAGAAGTGCAGAAGTGCACTGTCAATTGCTGTTCGAGTGACGAGTGTAATGGCTTCCCCGCGGCGGCCGCCATGGTCATGTCCGGATCTTTCAAGGCCACACCGATGAGCCTCGTTTTTCTCTGCATGGGGGCAGCTTTGACAAGGCTGGTCCTTTCCTGAGAACTGTTTACTCTGTTAATCAAGACAGCCCAGTCAGATCAGTCTATAAATAGTTTGCATGCACAGCAGTGATAATTTTTTTTCGCGGCGAAATTTAGACTCTCGAGCTAGACTATTTCATTTTCCGGCAAAATGCCCTGGCCAGTAGCCAGTTCTAAGTTTTGGTAAGCCGTGCCATCAAACTGACCAAGAATCTTAAAGTCCGCTATAATAGCGCGCGGTCAATAGTCAAAAAATGAGAAAATACAAGGGGACACTAGAGCTGTATGTTAATGCTAATGGCACAGCAAATTTGATTTAAGTTCCTGGGAAAGATGAGGAATAAGAAAGCAACACAAAATTGCAATGATATCTTAACCTCTGCCATTACTAACTTCAGTGAATTCCCACCCCACCCCTACCTAAAAAAAACTATCTCAAATTAGTTTTTGAAACTGGTGGATCCGACAAAACAACTAGTGAAAATAGACTCTAAACTTGCATTGCAGATCATAGCAAACTAAAAACGCATTTTCAGTTCCCCTCAATTTTGGGAGAAAGTGCAGTTTTAGGTCCTAAATTTCAATCAGTTGCAATTGCCTTCGAACATTTTCCATAGTTTTTTTTATTATATTTTTTTTATAAATTCCTATTTCAGAACTTTTTCCCATTTTGTCTCTACTAACTTCTTTTTGGCTAAGTTGTGTATCTATGCTTTGGCAGCAGTGCTGTAAGAACTTATGTTAAGTTTAATATGATAGCTACTTGTCATGATTGTCGAGTAAGTTTTAACAGTTTTATTTGAAATAATAAAGGGCACTTAAACCTTAAAGTCGATCAATATAATTAAAATAAACACGGTCTAGCAGAATTTCAAAACTTTATTGGAAGTTTCTTCCTAACAAAGTGTTAATCCAAGTAAAAGTTTTGATAGTAACTGTTTTCCTAGTGATGATGTCGTTTAGAAGTCCTCCGATCCGGATCCAGACCCCGATCCGCCATCGACGGCCTCACATTGACCCCAGTAGATGTTTGTTTTTATGTTGCACACGTAGCCAGTCACACATGGACAGGCCTCCAAATTTTGCTGAGGAGAAATAAATTAATGGTGTGAGTGAAAATTCTTACCCCTCTCCGGGAAGTTTTAAAAAAACCCTTATAGTACAAACTCAAACTGTTAGAGCGTTATTTTTGAACGACCATGCAAAGGGTGCGTTAATTGAAACGTGATACAGAACTTTGTCGATCATGGTACATTTTAAAATAATCATTCATATAGCACGAAAAAGGACTATCATGATATAGGAACGACCGGGTCTTCAGGTCATGATATGAAGTTCCTCTGCCTAAATGCTTTTCTCTGACTTTTCTTTTTTTTTCAAAAAGAGCTCTAACTCAGTATCTCTTCTCTTCGGTGAATGTTTATTTATTCCTAAGGCATATTTCAGCAAATCTGGTTGAACGACGGTTCCTATGGCAACTAGGTCATGACCGGCATGTGGACAAGTCATTTTTAAGAAAAAATGCTGGTTTTCCCAACGAATTTGTTTGGCAAAAATACGTCAAGAAAGCAGTAAGGTTTGACAATCACTTATCTTGGAACTCAAGCATAAATAGAATTTTATTTTAACACAGTTCAAACAATTCTTACTTGTTGGTAAAATCTAAGGTGGTTATCATTTTAATCGAATGCACCAATCACTTCAGGGGTATGAACTAGCTTGCAAAGCCATGGGATGTAAATCAACAGACTCTTACCTGTAGAGGGCACCAAGAACCTGGTTTTCGTAAGTCCCGACAGACCCCTCCCCTGTCGCCATTACCCGCGCAGCACTGGTCTTCAGCACAGTCACCGTCACTCCTACAGAAGTCCTTTATAGGTTTGCAAAATCCTTTGGCGCAATGGTTGCCAATCTTGCAGTCATAGTTATTGGAGCATTCTTTCTTCGTGCATTTTTCTACCAAAATAACAAAATGGAGAGTTTTGAGTACCAGCCGTGCTGGGATGAGGGGGTTATTATCGGAGTTCAAGTACGCCGAATTTTTTTGTCGAAAAGGGTGATTGCTATGTAGTGTCGCAAAACCAAAACTAAATCACAATGGCAGGTGTCACCTGCTACAAATTGCGCAGGCAGTCCTATGAGCCAATCAGAGAGCAAAGCATCTACATGCAGCCAGTGCCAGACTCGGCAAAATCATACAAGTTTACAAAAGGCTTTTATTAGTCTTATTTCTAATTGAACAAGTACACGTAGCTTTTGCCAAGAGCGCAAAAATATCTCAAAGGAGGACACCATCAGTTTAAATCTTACGCCTGTGATAAGAACCCGGACCATATCAGTGGGCTGCCAGTGCAACCGCGACGTCACACCCTTGCGCCGCAAATAAAAAGTAAAATTAGCCGCTTGAACAAAAAATACACCTACTGTTGAGGCAAGCATATCCGTATTTGCAGTAGTTGTTGTATCCCTCATAACAGTAACTCTCGTACTTCGTACAGATTCCCGATTCGCAAGAGTCGTTACCAGGGCAATCTTTGTGCATACGGCACTCCCGCTTTGAACACACCCCACCCTTGCAGACGTTTGCTGCCCCGCACTGTTGTTGGTGATAGCACCTTCGTACTCCCTTCCTACAGACTTGCAGGTAGGTATCGCAGAACTGATCTTTAAGGCAGTGTACGTGATGGGTGCAAGGCCGTCTTGGATAACAGGCGCCATTGTAGCAGTAGAAACCATCGTGACAGTAACGATTACCACATTTAATCTGAAGAAGTATATATTAAATTTTTTTTAAACCTTGGAATAAAGAATTTTAGTAACGAAAAAAAAACGCATTCAGCTCTTACCAACCTTTTCTTTTTGGAATGGCTTTCGATCTTTCCGCCAATTGGAAATGGCTAAAAATGAGAATTCATGCAATATTTTGCATATTTTCCTGTTAATTGGATGTAATTAAGCTTCTTTTTTTAGCACATATGCATAAATTTCGGATTTGATTTCGATCCTTTTTTCTTGCTCTCTTTTATTTTTGCTAGCTAGTTATAAATTTTTCGTTTACAGGAAATGAATTTCTTCGAGAACTTTATTAAACAACAACAACAGCAAAACTAACAATATTGCCCTGGGACTGGGCTCACTGTGGGCTGTGTACGTGACACCGCAGCCCCATTAATGAAGAGACATTTCTTACAGTGACATTATAAATCATCGCAACTAATACAATGATCAAACTTGAGATCTACAGCATCAAAACATAAAAGATCATAAAATAATTCTAACAATAAACTTTTCAATGAACTTTATGAATACTTACATATTCTCCGTAGACAGCAACGGACAAAGTTATAAGCACTGCAGCACCGAAAAGAAACTGCATGTTGGGCAGCGTACTGGAGACCCCTACAGCAATTGTTTAGCTTCCTCTGTGCTGTAAAATAGCCAGCCACGCTCTTATATGGAAAAAACACAACACTTTCCTGTGTTTCCACGTGGAAACATTTATGCCCATTGTTAGCTTGCGACAGGTTGTACTCTGAACAAATATACGCAGGTTTAAGTTGTGAACTTGAATTTATAGTTTGAGCATTCTCTGTCAAAGGATCGCGTTAAGTTTACCTAGGTGTTAAAGGCTTTGAGTGCGGTACTTTTAAGAAAAAGAAGCACTGAATTTTTGGTTAAATAATTAGGTGAGAATGTTTTATCAGCTAGTTAGAGTCTTTGTGAGTTGAATTGACTTTTACTCATAAAGACGAAGAAGAGAATAGAATGGGCAAATGAAACGTTAGTAAAGGTCGAGTAAACTTCAAGAGCTGACCAAAAATTAAGACAGAGATGCAAACAAATTTCTAACTATGGTTAGCCAGTCTTTTGGCGGTGGTATGATCACTTTCTGTTCATTGCGCACCGGACCATGTCTGCAGGGTGCTACTGGTGACCGCTCGTTTCGCTAACGTCGCGTTCGCTAACGTCTTATGTCGCTTCCGCTAAGAAGTGAAACGAGCGCTGCGCATGTATAAGCTTCGCAGTTCTCTCAGCCATGATACAAAAAAGTGCGATAGGCATGTATATACTTCGTTCTTTCATTTACTGATCAGGCGAAAGCAGCTTGGGAACTGACCCAACACGTGACCGAAACGACAGGACGTTGGCGCCGAAACAACTCGTAGACGAAACGGCCGTGAACCGTCTGGAGTTTCCTGGGTACTGTACAACCAAAAATACTCTGCCTATCGTTTTCTGGAAGCATATGTAAATTATGTTTACTATTCGATTTTCCATTTTGTCAGACTTAAGACGCAAAAACGTTTTCTACAAGTTTAACAGTAAACTTTCGCAAAGCAAGTCGTATTTATAGATTATTGCTTTAAATGTTTGCTTTCATGATCGAAAGACTGAGCTAATGAAACATGAATCAGTGGTCAGGGGGCAGAGACAGGAGGTATTGAGAAATTGACTTGAATTATCATTTATTAAAAAAAATTACCGTTTCTGATTAGCATATGTCCCAGGCTAAAGTTGCTACCGTTGACCAAATTTGGAACATGTTTGCAGATATCAGTATAACTGACGTCAATTGAACTTATATTTGTTTGAGAAAAGGACAGGGGAAGGGGTGGCAGCTTAGTTGTTCTGGCGGAGAATAGACTACGATTTCATAAGTTCACGAAAAAAGAAAAACCCGAACTATCGACTAAAATGGCATAGAAAACATAGCAAAAATACCACTCATCAGATGGCAAATGCTACAACCTACTACCAAGAAACAGGCCATGAAGACCGGAACTTAACGACGTAGATCTAGGCGCACATGTTTTGTTGAAGGTGGAAATAATTTTATTACCTAATAACTGAAAAACTATTTCATTTGTTTGGCTTTCGTGTGATGTGAAGAATTATAAGAAGATCTCACAGGGTCACTTTTATCCTCCAAGGCCAGAACACCCTCCTCGATCTATTTAATTCTTCATTTCATACTCCGCCTCATCTCATAACTGTAATTTACCATGGGCAAAAGAAGCATCACATCACTCTTTTAACTATGATGAGTACGTCTGTTTGTTTTAATGTTTCTAAATCAAAATTACACCCATAGAATAACAAGCATCTGTAATTGTGATTGATTGATTTTTTATTTTAATTATTTATCTTCACAAGAGCAAAACTTCAAAAAACTCTGCCATTTTTTGGTAAAACACTTGTTGTTTTCAAGCCATGGAATAATTGTTTCCTTGCTGAAGACGTCACTCAGAAATCGTTAGATCCTGACCCGGACCCAGATCCCCCGTCCACGGCCTGGCATTTACCCCATACAACATTATTTGTAACGTTGCATACATAGCCGGAGAGGCAAGAACAGGCTTGTAAATTTTGCTGGTGAAGAAACAAAAATATAATTTAGGCACACTAGTCGTAGTAAACATAATATTTGGCTTATCAAGTGAGATGATTACGTCAATTAGTTTCGCTGAAAAGTTTCAAAAGACGTTTCAACCCTGTTCCCTCTCGAGCTTTTGAATCTTTTTTTGCTGCGATCGTCATCGGCATTTATAGAAATGGGAAAATGTATTACACATACATAACTGCATATTGCACAATAAGCAATAATCATTATTATTTTAGTGAAGTGGTTTCAAGCTTAATTGAGGGAAAATCAAAAATTCAACCTTGTGTACATCTGAAGTGTCAGTAAACAATGCGACAAAATATTTCACTTATGGCATGGAAATCGTGAAAAATCCTCGCGTTTCATCTATCGAACAAGTGCACCCGAGAAGGTATACATCATATTTTGGATTAGTAAATGTTTGAGATGGTAGAACAAGCAGAGAATATTCTTAACAGTATTGTCGTGTGTCAGGGATTAAAAAAAGCAGGGAATTCCTTACCTTAAGTGGGCACCAGTCTCCCGGTTTGCGCAGACTCTTACAAACTCCTCCCCTCTCGCCGTTTCCTTTAATAACACAGCATTGATCCTTGGAACAGTCACCATCAGTCTTACAGAAGTCTTTCTGTGGTTTGCAAAACCCACCGACGCAATGATCGCCAATCTTGCACCCAAAATCACTACCGCATTCCATCTTTACGCATTTTCCTACGAAATCAACGTAACATGTATACAATTAACTCTTTTGTCTTTGGCGCCATAAACTACACTGTATATATAGGCCAAAATATCTGTTTCAGCTACGAATTAGGTCAGATGCTGTTGTACGATTCACCGCCTCAATTTGAAGCTAGAGAGACTGGGTCTAGTTTACTTGCGCAAAGATTTGTGGGACTGTTTTAGTACTTCTGCAAAGCTGATCATAACAACGTGTATTCCTTTGTTATAACAACATCTGTAAACCTGAAGAAGGCTGGTATGGCCAGCCGAAATATTGTCATGACAAAGCAATACACGTTGTTGTGGCATAAATACCACTCGTGATATTTCAAAATTGTCTCAAATTTCACTCGCCTAACGGCTCGTGAAATTACGTATAACAATTTTGAAATATCACTCGTGGTATTTATGCCAAATATCACTACTAATCATGCTATTACCTATACTAGTAGCCTAATAAAGCAGAAGACAAAATTTTACGTACTGTTGACACAAACATATCCTCTCTTGCAGTAGTTGTATCCCTCATGACAGTAAGCTGTGTACGCCAGACAGATCCCTGGGGGGTAGTGACAGGCATCACTGTCAGGGCAGTCTCTGTGCCCGAAACACTCTCGCTCCTTACACTTCCCACCCTTGCAAATTTGTCTATATCCACACTGGTTATGGTACGAACACCTTCGGACACCCTTCCTACAGACTTGTTGATACTTGTCACAGTACTGATCCTTTGGACAGTGGCCGTGGTGGCTACAGCGTCTCTTTGGGTAGCAGTTTCCGTGCAGACAATAGAATCCATCTGTGCAGTAATGACCACCGCATTGAAACTAAAAAATCAAAGGATGTTAAAATTCTATCGATTTTTTTTCTCCGGAAACATAACGTTCATGTTCGTTTTTGGGGTTGGGAGCATGAACCCACCGCGTGATTAGTCACGTGATTTATGGTGGTCACGTGACCTATCAGTAAAATTTTATCGAATAATAATGTTTTTCAAGAAAGTGTTTGTTTTCAGGGATGGGAGCCTGGACTTAATTATCGGAGGTTAAAATGGTCACGTGATTTCCGATCGTCACGTGACCGATAGTTGAATCGAGGATTCGACTGATGAAGATTCACTGATTCTGACAACGTCGAAATATCTCAGTCAAAGTGTTTTTGCTCCGAAAGAAAGTTGTCTTGACAAAATAATAAAATATTAGTCAACCTCTCTACTTAGATACTGCAAATTTCACGGGACGAGAAATTGGTTGGCAGCCTTAGGAGAGTCGTGCCTAATGAAAATGGCTTTTAAGCGGCAATACAACGCTAGATGTACCTCTTATTAGAGAGTAGAGTACCCTTTTTAAGAGAGTCGGAAAATGAACACAAAATATTTTAAAATCTTAAACAAAAATCACTGTACCATAGTACCATGAAAACTGCAAACAGAACAGTTGATACTTGAATGTGTAGATTTGTGAAAGATATGTACACGAAACAATACCAACGACTTTAAAAAAAACTTGAGAAAGGGTTTAATGAAACGTTGATATAGTTAGATTAGTTTATAGAATCAAGTTTCTTTGATTTAGATTTGGGAGTCTCAACTCCTTTAAAAAAGAATAAAGTAAATAGTAATTCATAATAGAAACCAGTAAAAATTTCATCAGACTTTTTTTTCTCAAACTAAGTCGGAATACTTACATAGTCTCTTTGGGCCTGACCGTCACTCTCTCCTTGCTCCCCCCGAACAGCAACTGCTAAAGTGATAAGCGCTAAAGTAGCTACAAAAAACTGCATCCTTATGGCAAACGTTATAGCTCTACCGAAGCAAGTCTTTTTGCACTGAATAAAGACTGACATAGCTTCCAACTTGTACTCTTTGTCGATTATTTGCTGTCACACCTGTCGTGTATTACTCGCGCAATGTAAACTTACGATATCTCTAAGTTTTTAACATCTTTGTAGGTAGGTGTCTGGTTGGCAAATTTTGTCTCTAGTGGAGTTACGTTGACGTTTGCCTTGATGCTCAAGGCTTTGAAAGCGGTACTTTTCATCAACAAAAGCGTTTCATTTAATGCTTGTATGGTTTTAGTAACCAAAGCTGAGTAAAGAAATCTTTAGAACATGAATGCGATAAATGTTTTGACAGCTTTTCAACTGTGCTTTGCGGGTTTGTTCGTTCCCAAAGAGGACTATATCTGGTGTAACTTTTTTTCTTTACGTTAAAGTAATCTTACTATATTTTTCTGAATTATTTCTAGAAAGCAAAAGTTTTAAAAATTCCACAACTATGGAATGCTTATTACATACTGAAATTGAAAAGAAATCTTTGACAGTCTGTAAGAATGAAACTCTTGTTTGGTAGGCGAGGTATATATTCTTATTAGACTGATTATTGCCACATATCCACTGCAACTAATGTAATTTCAACAAAACTGAATGCAAGGCTGGCAATACGGCAAATGGCTGATTTACTTTAATTTTAGACTGATCCAGCAAGAAAGAACCTGTTAATGTTATTTCGTTGCTTATACCGCAATTCACACAGCACGCTTAAGTAAGGCTCAAGGGTGTTAAGGTGATTTAAATTGATTCAAACTGACAGCCAAACATTAATAACTTTGCTCGCTAACGATGAACTAGCACAGTTTGAATAATGTTTCGTCTGACATGAGCTAATTCCACTTGTACATAGACGTCGTCTGATCCCGAACGTTATTTTATAATAAGCTCTGATTGAAAAGCACTCTCTCAAGCGATTCTCTCCCCTTGAGAATATCGGGGGATCCTCGGCTAGTGCTGCTTTAATTTCCAAGGCCCGAGGGGGTATAAATACCCAACATTCTTTGGACATCATAGGGAGCTTAGGCAACAACAATGGCGACGGCTACATGAGCGTCACTTAAAAAGAGAATTTGCGCTGCTACAAGCTTTCTCGGGTTTATTCCATCTCGTTCAATTCGACAAATAATGCCAACAAACAGATTTCTCTTAAAATCCCTTTCAAATTCGCATATTTCTCTTTCTTATTGATCTGGAATTGAAACGGCAAATACGTTAATACACCTTCGTAGTTCCCTATAACGGTGCAAAAACCATACCCTTTGGGGTGGCACATACCTATATGTCTTATATAAGGGAGTACCTCTTCTCCCGGGGAGTTGGACCCTTCATTTTATGCTAGACGTCGCAAGCAAGTTTGACGGATGACGTCACTTTCAAAATCCCCCAGAAGGACTGGGATCCAACAACACAGTTCACACTGGTTGAATCGAAAGCAAAGCATCAAAATAAGATCGACTTGATCATCCCTAATTAACTCGTTTTATTTGAATCCCCCATCTCTAAGTCTGAATGAATATACATGATGTATCACGAATTTTATTTGTTCGTGTATCGCTGGCTCAATCATGCGGTTATTCTACTTCACCAGATCCCGAGCCAGGCTCCTCAGTCGGGGGTACAACCTTTGTACATTTCCCCCAATAGTTGCCAACATTAGCTGCGGTGCACTGGTATCCCTGGATACAACCACAGTGATAGATATCAGCCTGCGAAAAAAATTAACACACACAATTTTTTATCTCTGATCCAGTAGAAATCTAGCAGAAAAGGTTTTGCAGTTACTTCTCTAGTTAGTTGTATTGGTCCTAACCTTGCAAAAACCATAATAATGATAAAAAAAATACAGTCTCCTCTTTCCTCGCATAAAGACTATTTCTGTGAATCCCTCGTTGTTCAAACGTTGGATAGCACTATCCACCGAATTCTGTCCAGTGGATAACGCAATTGTTTCCAGTAATACTTGTCCGCTGAATAGTGATTTTATCCGGTGGATAATAATAATAATAATGGAATTTATATAGCGCTTATACATCGCTTTTCTAAGCGCTATCCAATGTCTATCGCGGCCAAGGCGCGGTAGATCTTTTCGGGAATCACTCTAGCTCAGTAGCTTAAAATGGAATAGACCATTTGCACGGTAACGTCATGTTACTACCACCAGAATCCTTGTATTTTTTTTATTTATTATTTATTATTTTCTGCTTTCTTATGCAAATTTAAGCTTTTGTTTTTATAATCATGCCGCGATTACCAAATTAAAATATCAAAAAAAAAACGAACAAGAGTATTTCAGTCGTAGTAGTAAAGTTGACGTCATTGTGCAAATGGCCTACATTTTTTCACTGAGTTCTGTTTTGATCAAGACAAAAGTATTTCGATAAACTATAAGTTTTTACCCCTTTAAGAGGACAGTATTCTCCAGCCTTCTTCCGCGGCTTACACAAGCCACCCGAGCAACAATGTGTTTTGGCACAGCTTGAATCACCAGAACAAGCACATTTTCCCCAATAACGGTTTCCCCGGTATCTCCTGCATTCAAAACCACTTGTACAACCACAATGATACTTATCGGCCTGTAAAAAAAATATAAATAAATAAATTTAATGGCGATTTAATGTCATTGATCGGTTTTAGAAAGTCCAGAAGTTACCTGAGTGGCAGTAACATTGGCCTGGCCATTAATAATAAGAGAAAAGTTTCAAAGACATTTTCGCCAGTACGTAGTATAAGACAGTTTTAAAAACAAATCAATTGACAAATTTTAATACGTCTGGCTGATGTTCTTAAATACAGTCGACTCTCTCTTAACGGACACCTACATAAAATGGACACCTCTGTAAAACGGACACCTAGAGTTGGTCCCTGCCTTTCTTTACTCCTTTTATTTGACTCTTTAAGACGGACACCTCTCTAAGAAGCCACTCAGTGCCAGCCCCAGAGTTGATTGCAATCATAGCTTGCGTAACAGGCGGTTTTTCTCATCAACCGCAATTCGTAAAGTAAAAGATATGACCGTGAAATGAGTTTCTTCTTTGCCTCTCTCCCTTTTCTCTTCCCCCTCGTTTTCTTGTTTAACCTTGGAGGCTACAAACGAATCCCCAAAAAGACACCAAAAAACGGCCCGCTACACATGCTAACATAATCAGTAAGTTACTGATTTGTTCATGCGTTGTTTCTCGGTCTTTTCGTTTTTGGAACTTATTTGGAAGTTATTACAAACAAAAAAGCAAAACAAAATATATAGTTAGTACACGCATAGGAACATTTTTACCCCATTGGCAGGACAGTATTGGCCAGCCCTCTTTTTCAGTTTACACTGGCCACCGGAACAGCAGTGAGTTTTGTAACAGTTTGAATCGCTGGAGCACTGTGGCTTTACACACTTTCCCCAGTAATAGTTTCCCCAGTATCGTTGGCATTGGTAGCCACTTGTACAACCACAGTGATATCCGTCAGGCTAAAGAACAATATAATGGATAATCAATAGGTTAGAGGGTTATACATTATGTATATGTGAGCAATATACCGTAAGTCCTCTAATAAGCCCCCCGGGAGGCTTATTTATTTCAAACACCGGAGGTGGGGAAGGGGAGGGGCGGGGCTGCTTAATAGAGACGGTGGCTTATGTGAGAGCGGGCTTATTTGTTTTAGCAGA